TACAGAACATTTTATTTGAAAATAGGATACTGTATTAATGTTTTGGTAGTTCTCAGATTGCATTAAATATATGTACTATATTCATTATGTTCACTATGTACTATATTCATGATATCCACTTTGACATTGTAAGTCTGTACTATTACAGGTGAGACTAATGAACCACATCACATGGCGCATAATTTCTGAATTCTGTCATAGTTCTACTATTGACTCAGAAAACTGTGTCATATACAAGGAAGTTGAAAAACCATTAACAGGTTATCCAGCAACCTTAGCCTCAGTTCAAGGTCTTCCACTAGTTCTCGAAACCACATGTAAGTTCATGTTCATTTTATACTGCATTCAGTATTTCCATATATTGATGTCAGGCTCAGAAATTGGTAACACTTATTTGTTTGCTTTTGAACTTATTGACATATTAATTACAATTCCTGAAACCTTTATGGGTAAAGTTTGCTGTTTTTAAATATTGCCTAATTTATATATTGAAAATAGTGATTTGTTCTTCAACAAATCTAAGTGTTCTCTTGTCAGTAGTCCCTAAAGCACCATTATTGTTATGCGAACAGAAAAATTTCAAGAAATGCCTATTTTAAAATACCCTTTCATTTTACAGATGAAGAAGAGGAATCTAGGCCAGTCAGTCTTGCATCCATAACAGTAGAGCCTGGGAAACAGGCAAACCCACGCATAGGTGTTGGGACACTCCTTTTCAGTAGTGATAATAGATACCTAGCAACGCGGAACGATAATATGCCGGCTACCGTATGGATTTGGAGCATACCCAAGTTAGCTTTAAAGGCTATACTTGTACATGCAAATCCCATAAAGGGTATGTTTTTTATCTTCTTCTTCTTTTTAGCTCTATTCTTTGAAGTTAGAAAATATGAATAACAAACAAATGATACTGGAAAGGTTTGTGGACACTATAACTTCAATATGCTATGATAATTTCTTTTAGTTAATTTCTGGGATACTAGTTGTTTATAAGTTTCTTGTTCATATATGAATGCTTCCTGTTTTGAGCTTTCCATATCCTGATATTCTTATTATCCATTAAGGTATATTTAATCAAGGCAAGCATATAGTAAGATCACCTTAGATAGGTAGATACAGGAAAGAAGATTCAGGATAAGCACAAAATGAAAGGCACATTAAATGAAAAAGTCATGTATATACAGATGTCATGGAGTAGTGAAAAGATCCATGCACATGATCTATAAAGGTTTAATGTACAGGTCGGAGTGCTATAAGGAAAAGGAAAGCAAAAGTTATTATGTTAGTTCATAGCTACATGATGTTCTTACATATTTTTGTTTTTTAACAAAATTTAAAAAATAAACCTCATTTTTTCAAGACATGGCTTGGGACTCACAACATCCTCGTCTGGCACTTTGTACTGGGAACAGCCATGTATACTTTTGGTCCCCCTTTGGCTGTTTAACAGTTGCTGTACCAGGAGCTCCCACCTTACAAATTACTTCACTTAGGTAATGTAGCCATTTATACAGTTTCCAGGTTATGATACTGTTATAAATATGAACAAATAATGAAGACATAGTTGGGCAGTTAATTTTTTACAGTATAAATCTTTTCCACAGGTGGCATCCTTCAGGTTCACGAGTTGCTCTAATAGGACGTGATCAGTTCTCTGTCTGTTTTTTTGATAAACAACTTCAGTTATGTGACTCTTTATCTTCACCTTAATGATGGAGGTGTTAATAGTCAGCTTCAAAGACATCCTTACTTTACCTTACCTGACCTTTAAATATGAATATAAATGATACAAGGATATTTAAGAGAAACATACTTCTTTTGGCTTGTGTTATCAATATAGCCAAAAAGTTTGTATTTTTATTAGATCTTTCAAGTAAAGTTATTCTAATTTGGAAAATGATATTGGTATTCTGCATAATTTAGTTACAACAGTCCATTATTCATTAAAGCTTAATCATATGTTAATGTTTAATGTTTTGCACTAATAGTCATATTCCAAAGAACTTTTAGGCTTACATATTGTAATTCATACAAAATTAATAGTTAAGCAACTTATAGGGAGGATCTTTAAGACAGATATGGTTTCCCAGTATTTGTGATAAGCTTTAACACACAGCTTACAATAAATAAAGGAGATATGAATTTTATATATATGCAAATCATTGTTATACACAATTTGGTTGTTCATATATCAACTACATAATCACCCAAGAAACATCAACAGTGTAACAATACTAAAGATCTGAAATCCTAAGAGTGTGTATATAATCATCAATGGAAAAAAGTATTTTATATTTTCTTAATAAAGTTATTTTAGAATTGAATTTACCTTCTTTGTTTTCACCCTTTTTGTGCACATGCATACATACATGCATGAATAGGTGTGGGTGAATGTTCTGTGTAGATGCTTGAGGAAGTGTATGTGCTTCTTAATATTATATATTTTGTTGCTAGTCATTTTCCTTTCCCTCTAAATATTTTGATAATACCTCTTAATTTTAATTGCTTCAGTTATTATTAGCATATAGGTATAAATAGGGATAAAAATTATTCATTGCAATAAGGGTACCTAAAACTATTGATATTTTTCTAGTCCATATACAATTTTTTTGCTTAGATCAAAATAGAATAACATGAGGATAAAATTAATAAAATTCAGAGTCAAAAATAAGCATGAAATTACTGCAAATAAGTTTTCCAAAATTGTTAGAAAAAGACATGGTTTTAAAGTATGAAAAAGGTACTTTATTGGTTTCTAAAACCAGTCAGCTTTCATAATTTTCACTCATATGCTACTGCCAGCCTCAATGCCCATATCTACATATATTTTGTTAAGCCATTGCTAACATCGATTCTGCCTCAAGCACCCAAACTACATGTACACCTCCTCCTAGGAAGAGCCCTAGGATGTGTCACACAGATTTGGAGGTGTTCTTCACCCAGAGCAGGAAGTTCATCAAGAAACACTGCTATAGTACAAAAATTTCAATTCATTACTTTCCCATTGGCTATACCCCAGTGTTCAGACCTGAAGATGGATTCTAGGAGGACTTCGAAACTGTCTCATTTTCAATAGATCTAGTTTGTACATTGTGAGTTTTTCTGCCATAGTATCAACATGGTAGTGTTTAATCATTCCTAAATAAACAAAGTGACCAAGATTATTTGCACATGTTTCAATGTTCAAATAATATATAATTTAAATTAAAACATTTGACTGTGGTCATTTTGACCTAACATATTACAGCGAAATTTACTGAAATTTCTGCCGCGTCAACGTCACAGGCCATTCGCTGCTATTCGAAATATAGCTAGATAGGGTGGGGGTCGGAGGCGAAGTCACTGGGTGAGAAGGCGTTTTGTTCACAAGGCGATGTTGTTGGATTTCCAG